CTGAGGCTCTCACCCAAGAAGAGGCAAACCATGAGAGACTATGGACTCCAGGAAAACAAACTGAGGGTTTCAGAGGGGAGGGGGTTGGGGGTATGGAGTAGCTGGGTGATGGGTACTAAGGAGGGCAGGTGTTGTGATGAGCACTGGGTGTTATATGCAACTAATTAATCATTGAACACTATATCTGAAACTAATAATGTACTATACAGTTGCTAAGTGACCTCCCAGGATATCTGCCAGAGTTGATGGAATATAGGTGTTTCAAGGGGCTGCTACAGAGAAATGCAGATTAAAAGCCTAGGATGTCAGCATGCTGAACATGGAAGAGCATGGGGACCATCCACACAGTGAATTGGGTCTGTCTTTTGCAAGGGAAAAGAATAATGAAGCAAAGACCAAGTTAAAGGCAAATGTTCTTGCCTTTCCTTGGGCTGGAATCAGAAGTATCTGCTTTCTCTTTGGCTTTAAGGTGTCTCTGAGGTTCAGAGAGCCCTGGGACACTTTCATTTTGTGTAGCTCTCAACATATGAAGAAAAGAGAGTTGCCAAAGTAGGGTTACAAAATTTCTGGGATCTTTTAGAGTGGGAAGAGGTAAGTGCTTGGGTTGGCTCCCAACACCAGCCTGGAGGATGCTGAGTTCCACTGCTGCCTGGACCTGGAGCCTCGGTTGCCCCAGTCCCTGATAGTGTCCATGTGGGCACAAGTTTGTCTCTAGGATGCCAGGAGAGACCCCTCGGCTGCGTGTACCTGGGCTCTCGGAGATGCTGAGCGCTTGTGGCTGAAGGGAAAGTGTAAGTACTCTGGGGACAAAATAAAAAAAAAAATATATATATATATATGGTATACCAGAAATGTGTAATGCTCCTGAATCAACTTTTTATATGCAAGTGGTCATAAGGCATAATTAATTGGGTTATAAAAATGATTCCTGAGTTAAAATATTAATTTATTTGTGTTTTGGTAGGAATAAAACACATGTAGAAATAGTAGGATAAACATTTATGTCAGTGCAGCCCTGTGATTGTACAGATAATTCAATTTAGAGATAATATTAAAGATGACTTTGAGGCTCTTCATGGGATGCCAGAGCAGAGCCAAACGGCAGACCTTTCTCCCCTCACTGCAAGGTAGACTTCCCCGACCCCAAACCTCCCGTCCATTTCTGCCCATCTTTCTTCATCCTGGCACCTCTGTCTCCTTGTCGGGGATGTCTTCTCATCCCCTCAGCCGCCTTTCCTTAGACCTCGCTGGCCCTGATCATAGTATTTAAAGAGCTGCTTCCCTCACTCATGAGCAATAAGAAGAAGCATTGTCCGTTGTCACTGATGTGGGAAAGATATTAGGGTTTGAAGCCGATGGCCAAGAAAGAATTCTTGAGACATCTTTGGTGCAAAAAGGTGGTTTTATTAAAGAACGCACAGGGACAGGACCCATGGGCAGAAAGAGCTGCACCGGGGTCATGTGGAGTGGCCCGTTATATCCTTTTAAGTGGGTAAGGGGTTGGGGATAGCGTAAGTCTCTGAGGAATTTTGGAAGCAAAGTTTCAAGGACCTTGAGGGGCCTAGTTATTGTTGAGAAAAGGTCATTTATTACTGTCTAATAAAACCTGAGTCATGAGACCCTTCAGATGGATATCGGTGGGTCATACCTTGAGGAATGATTGCCAACATGTATCTTGGGGAGGAGAGATAAAGGAAGTTTCCAAAGGAATCTTTGTATGTTAAAGGAGACTTACAGGGTCCTCGGATTTAAACTAACATTGCCTTTTGCCCTTAGCAAAGTATTAACATCAAGGCAGCTGAGATCCTAGAGGAATGTCACTCTGCCTATTTCAAGGACTTGTCAGTGGGCTGTAGATAGTAAGAAAATTTAATAATTTTTCTTCTGTCTTTGTTTCCTACATCAGTCACCACCTCAAATTCCAAGCCAGCTGACCATGTTCAGTAGGGGGCACTGGGTCTCTCTACCACTTCCAGGGGGTAAGAAATCCAGAAGAGCTGTGTGGTTGCTGCTTCTCAATAAAACTGAAGCCCTGGACTAGAGTCAGATGTGTCTTGTCTTTCTTCCTGGTTCCATCCCCTCCCCTGGGCACAGGTGGTGAGGGCCCCGACTTATTCTAGTCTGAACTACCCTGTAGGCTCCAGTCCCCTGGTTGCACCTTAAGCTCTGGACCTGTGAATGTCTGGGTCCACCTCTAGTGGAGACACAGTGATTCCTGAGCCAACAGCTCAGGCTGATGAGCAGGATGGGGCTTGGGGACTGAGCAGGCTGTAGGACTCAGCCTGAGGAGAAAAGGCCATCAGGATACAGTGGGTCTAGTTCTAACCCCTGGGTGGCCAGGATCACAGTATTTGAATCATCCAGGGGGACTCAGCAGCTGAGAAGCAATCCTGTTAGACTAGAATTATTTTTATTTTTATTTTTTTAAAGATTTTATTTATTTATTTGACAGAGAGAGAGAGACACAGTGAGAGAGGGAACACAAACAGGGGGAGTGGGAGAGAGAGAAGCAGGCTTCCTGCGGAGCAGGGAGCCCGATGTAGGGCCTGATGCGGGGCCCGATGCGGGGCCCGATGCGGGGCTCGATCCCAGGACCCTGAAAGCATGACCCAAACCGAAGGCAGACGCTTTATAATATAGCTTCATAGATAAATAGTCATATATACAGTCATAGATATATGACTATTGCTATATAGTATAGCTTGATATCAGGAAGTGTCACGTCTCCTGCTTTGTTCTTCTTTCTCACAATTGCTTTGGCTATTCGGGGTCTATTCTGATTCCACATAAATTTTAAGAGTTGTTTTTCTACCAGTATAAAAAATGCCATTGGAATCTTGATAGGGATTGCACTGAATCTACAGATGGCTGGTCCTTGATAAAGTGAGTGGTTTCTATCGGATCCTGGACATTCTGGATATTATATTATGCGTCTCTCAATCCTATTAGTCTTTCTTTTTATTTTTATTCTTTAATCTTTCTCCCAGTTTTTTCTAAAAAAATATAATGTAGAGGGACTCTCTATGGCTAACATGATTAGGACAATATGGTAATGAACACAGATAAGTAAGTAGCCTAACAGAATAGAGCATCGGTAAACAGACCTGTTTTTACATGGACACTTGATATAACTCATATAAATGAGGAAAGAAAGAAAAACAATAAAAATGTTGGAGTATGTGGTCATCCATATGGGGAAAAAAGGAAAGTGGTTCCAACCTCACATCATGTAAGAAAAAAAAGTCAGACTCGGATGGATCCAGGACTAAATGTGAACTGCAGAATTTTAAAGTATTTAGAAAAAATATAGGAGGATATTTTTATAACTTTGGGATAATAAAGGTTTCTTGAATATGGTACAAAAAGTACAAACCAAAATACTTTTGATGAATTCAAATACACTTCATGAAGAGTCCAGAATGAAAAGACAAGTCACAAAATATGGGAGCGCATATTTGAAAGCCATCATTGATAAAATTTCACCAACGTGAGGATGAGTCCTCTAATTCAGCAAGGAAAAGAGAAACCTGAGAAAGATGAGCAAACTTGAACAGAAGAGGGAATACAACAGGAAGTGAAAAGGTGCTCAGGAGGACACCTGGGGTTCATGCGGCCACACTGCCCACACGGACTGCTGAGTGGAAGCACCGGCCATGGGGGACGGATGTAACGCCTGGATCCCTCTCTCTCTACTTCTGTAGAGTAAATACCGTAAGTAAATACTGCAATCCCTGAGCCTGTGTGCATGTTGTCTGTTCTCAGTGACCTTGAAACCTGCATGGGCCTCTTTCCTGCTCACACTTACCTGCCTTGGCTGCACAACCTGGCCACCCTGTGGATGGTGAAACAAAGCACTATTTCAAACTGGCCAAAAGTTAACAATGAAAATGTCTGACAATCCAAGTAGTCACACACAGAGGCAGGGCAATAGGAGCCCTCAGTCATAGCTGATGGGAGCTAAGTGGGGCCACTAATGGGTTTGGAAAATCATCTGGCATTATCTAGCATGGTTGGGTGTGCACAAACCCTAAACCCCAGCAATTTCAGTACATCCCTAAGTATGTACCCTAGTGAAATCATTTCACATATGTACTAGGTGACCTGTACAAAAATGTTCATGGCAGCCCTGGCTGTGAAATAAGCCCCAGATGGGAACAACCCAAAACCATCAACAGAAAAATGGATAAATCAGATGTGGTGTATCTTATCTTCTCTCATCTGAAGGGCTGTGTGTCTGGGTAGCATATCCAAAGGCATGAAGGGCTGAAGCTTCTCTTGGTCGGGGTGCCCAGAAGGAGGGAGGACACCCCGAAGCCAGCACTGAGCATGGTCAGGAGCAGGGACACCTCCAGGATGACCAGGAGTAAGAAGTGGACCTTGCTAAGCAGGGACCTGTGAGGGACACAGTGACAGACACTGAGCTGCCTCCTCAAGAGGAGGCCCCAGGTCCCTCCTTTCTGCTCCCAGGTCTCTCTGATCCAAGACCCTGTGGATCTAATAACCACATTTGGGCCAGACTTGGATATCTGGATATACTCACTCCCAACCCCTCAGCTCAGCAGCTGACTTTGGGCATTAGGTAGGCCGACACTGAGAAGAGAGAGAGGGTTTGCCTGGGCAGGACCTGGTTTCCACAAACAGCTGCTTTATTCTAAGCCCCGCCCCTCCCTTTGCCATCCATACTCCCAAGAACTCAGTTCAGGTTGGGACTGTTTTTGGTGATTTCTCACAGGTCAAGGTCTACATAGGCTGGTGCTAGCTACATAGGCTCTTGGTGAATATTTGGTGAGTGGGTAGAGAAAGGAAGGAATGTTGAGTTGAGAGGCTGCCCTGGGGGTTCTCAGGAGGGCAAGGTCAACGAAAAGCAGGCCCTCCCTCACCTTGGGCTCCTCTGACCAACCAGGCTTGGTGCTCTCTGCTGGCATTTAAGAGTCCTATGGAGTGCTTTTCCCCTTCTCCCCATACAAGCACTATGCACATCTTCATTATATACACAATTGTGTGTGTGTGATATATTTTATTGCATTTTTTTCAAGATTTTCTCTTTATTTACCAGTTTTTGGCAATAAGGTGAGAAGAGATAGAAGGTTTGGGGTCAGAAGTTCTTCCTCCTCTAGTCTGAGTGGCAGTGTCTCTGGACAGGATATGGATGCTCAAGGAGGGCCGCAGCTTGTCTTCATCAGGCCGACTCTGTGTCCCACAAGTTGCCCACTGAGGCCTGTTGACCCAGAGGACGGCACTGAGCATAATCAGAAACAAGGGTACCTTCAGGAGAATGAGGAGCAGGAAGTGGACACTGCCGAGCAGGGACCTGTAGGAGGGACACGGTGACTGGCAGGTGTTTCCTCCTGGGCATGAGGCCCAGGCTCTGCCTCTCCCCCACCTGCTTTTGTGCTCAGGTCCTGTGGCCTCAAAAGTCAATATCAGTGTCAAAGCTGATTGGTACCAGGGCCGGACGGCCCCGCGCTGAGGGCCCCACACTCCTGTCCCTCCGCTCAAGCCTCCACCTTGAGCATCCGGACTCAGCAGACACATGAGGATGTGGTCGTGAGGAATGGAGGGAAAGGGAGAAGAGGGGACCCAGGAGGCTCAGGGTCCAGAAACAGCTTTCTGAACCCATAGCCCTAAACTCTCACAGGAACTCAGCTCCTGCTGGCACTGACTGAAGAATGAAATGCTCCCTTATAAGGACTCCTCTCCCAAATTAGTCTTGACTCACATTCAGTATGATGGTTGGAGCTGCTCTTCTGCTTAAGCTGCTCAACAACATCAACCTCCAGGAGTGTCCCCCCAAGCTCAGCTCGTGGCCAATCCCCTCCCCCTTCCGGGTCCCAGTAACTGTCCCCACGCCGGATCCTCACAAATGCTGTGTCCCCGCCCCACACTGGGCCTTTGTTGAAGCTCTCCACCTCGCCAGCCCCTCGCCTGGCTCGCAGCCTGCGGGTTTGCCTGATGTCCTCTCCAAAGTCTCACTGGGCCCCTCTCGCACACCCTGTTGGCACCCTGGCTCATATCTTCTTTGCCCACTGGAGCTCTGGGGCAACAGTGGACAGCCTTGGACTGGCCAGTGGTTTCCCGTCTTCAGCTCTCCCACCTCTTTGCCTGAGGACTCTGTTTACCTATAAGACTGTGTGTGGCTTTCTGAGCAGAACAGGCCAGAAGTGGCACAGAAGCCATGTCCCCAGGAGGGGACATCAGCCTACAATACTCTTTCTCCACATAAGGGGCCTTCGCTCACCACTCTGTGAGAAAACAGGAAGCCCCGCCATCTTCCCCCACCTTGAGGACAGATGTATGTGGATCCCTGCCTCAGCTTCCTCACTGCTAAGTGGGCCAGCTCTGAGGCATGTCCTACGCAGTATCTCTGAGGCCGTCCAGTGGGATGGAGCCCAGTTGCTACTGGGATAGCTCCTCCATCAAAGTACACTTCATTGGCTTTCCCCACCTCCCTGTTTCCTCACTATACTTCCTGGGATCACCTTTTCATAAACTAATTGCCCCAAAGTCCTTCCCTCAGGATCTGATTTTGAAGAAACCCAAACTTAAACAGGCTCTTTGGTACTTGTTTTCAATGAATCTGGATTGCTTTCATCAAGCCCACCATCTACCTGTGCACCCCATCATCCTATCCATTGATGAGCAATTGGTGTACTGGTTTTATTGGGCTGATGTCACCTGTCGCCAGAGCCCCTCTGAGACCTGTTCACTCAGAGGACAGCACTGAGCATGCTCAGGAGCAAAGGCACCTCCAGGAAGACCAGGAGCCAGAAGTAGGTCCTGCTGAGCAGGGACCTCTGGGGGACACGGTGACAGGCAGTGAGCCACATCTTCAGGGAGACGCCCTGGTACCCTCCACAATCCTTCTGTCCCTGTGCCCATGTCCTGAGGCTACAACAGTCCACACGGAGATCAGTCCCAGGAGGGTCCAAGGGCGGGGCAGCCCCACACAACAGACCACGCCTGTGACCCTCAGGCTAACAATTGCCCTTGAGACAGGACTCCGGACACGGAGAGGGCCTGGCTATTGGAGTGACGGGAGGGAGACCCTAGGGAGCAGGCAGGACCTGGGCCAGGAAAAGGGTTCTACCTAAGCCCGTCCCATTGGGGGTTACCCTGTCTGAGGACCAGAAATCAGTGCTGGGTTTTTTTGTCTGATGTCTCCTCCCCACAAACAGTGTTTCGCAAGAAGGATCAGAAATGTGTGCTTTAGTCCCAGGGAGGATCTGGCACCTGGGCGGTGCCTCCAAAAACCTTGACCTGAAATTCAGTGGTTCATGATGGAGGGAATGAATGGCCCCACTCACCTCTCCTCTCTCTTAGAGGCCTGGTCTTCAACGGGATGACTCTCTGGCGAGGGCCTTGGGGGGAAGGGGGAGCAGAAAAGAGAGCCCAGGGGCCCCCAGAGCACCTGGCTGACCTGGGCTGGGTCCTGAAGGCCTCCGTTGCAAAACACTTGCACTTGTTCTTCGTTGCCTCTGGATCACGATTTCTGTAGATACCTGAGTGATGGCTCCCCAAATCCTACAGGTCTCCAGGGAAATGTCCTCTCACCGGCCAGGTCTCCCTGATCATTGTGTATTAAATAGCAATCGCACCACCCTGAAACTCTCCCACACATGCTCTCCCCGACCCATGTGTACTATTGCCT